ATTGTTTCCAAAAGCAGCCAGGAGGAGGGAGAGGGTGTCATCAGTGGATTCATAAGTGCTGCTGCTGTTGTAGCTGCAGTAAGATTCCTGACTGGAGATGCTGCTTTCCGAGGGAGATACACAACGGGGAGGGACTTGAACTGTCATGGTCAGTTGCTGCTGCTGTTGTTGTTGGGCAATCTGCTGCATACGTCTTTTGGACTTGAATTGTTTGGAAGATCGGTAAGAATGACTAAGAGCATTGCGCATGGCTTGAGCTGCCGTTTGTCGGGCCAATGCTTCTTCTACGAGTGTCCAGTGACCGGTGGTAGGATCCTTACGGACAAATCCCGCAATGTCAGCAGCAGAGCCAATTTGGTGAATCAGACGCGTCAAAATGGCGCCTTTTTCCGATTTGCAAGGAGCTGCTTGGTAGTCAGCAGCAATGGCTTGGATCATCTTGTCAAATTTCTTGTTGGCGCTGTGCTGCTTGACCACTCGACCACGCCCAATGATGATTGTGTGTTCAGTGGGAATAAAGTCAGCAGGAAGAACAATTGCAGTGTCGGAGAGAACCATCTTTTGTGTTTTGTATAGTGATTTTGATTGTTTGTGTTTTGGTTTGTGAGTTGAGGAAATTGTGAGAATGTGAGAAGAGATGAATGAGTTGATGGATGGCTGATGGATCCTTCCTTTGACATCCACTTCGCTGATGGATGCTGCTTGCTGGTTTTGCTTTGCAGCTACCAGGTAGCTGGTTTGTCAGTACCGACTGTTTGGCCTGACTGGGTTCTTTATGTGTGCACGGGGAACTGCTTGTGTGATCTTTCCACTGCTCTTTCCAAAAAGAATCACATCCAATCCACCTGGTAGAGACGGGATCATAAGCGTCAGACCCGAAACTGACGCATATTCAACTTGGCTGGACTTCTATGAGGGTCCGATAGCTGGTCCGGTTGGGTCCAATAGGCTCTTTGGGGCCTCGAACCTAAGCCAGTGTGAGACACCAAGAGCTCACCAAGTTTTTGCTTTGCTTTGCTATTCGACTTGCAAACAGACGCACTTCCACAATTCATCGTACAAGTCTACTGGAAAGCTACTGAAAAGACAAGTATTCAAAACTGCATACAGAACTTCGTTCGAGAACACAAGGAAGCAGACAGAATCATCAGTACAGCTAACGAAAGCAATACCGAGATTGAAAGGTTTACTTCCTACTATTTTACTGTAACAACAATAACACCCATCCATCCGTCATTGCAAAAGATGTCTTCCTATTGAAGTTACAGTGTATCACCACACAACAGGTCCACAACAGCTACGGTACGTAAGATCTTTGTCTTCTCACTTTTTCAATCTTTTTCAAACTCTCCAGAGCTCTCATCAGGCTTGGTGCTGATGCTGCTACGTATCCAATTCAGACTCAGCCAACAAACAACCAATCAACCAACCAACCAACCAAGAATGCAAGCATGGATGCCACATTTCCACTACGATTACAACTTATTTGTGACACGAACGGAACATCAATCTTGAAGGATAACAAACTCTGGTCGTTTCTTGCCTACAACCAGCAATAATAAGATGGTTTTGTTTGAACGCTACATGTATGTACCCGAAACCTCCAAATTGATGAGTGGGAACTTAAATCAGCATCCATGGGGAAAATGCACAAGGCACCAAGTTTGGAGAAGAAGCGAGCAAGCAATCTTGGTCTCTACAGTACTAGCTACAGTAGTGCATACTAGTGTCTAGCTCGCAGAAGGAATGCTGCTGTCAAGAATTTCACGTCGTGAAACTCATTTGCAAAGTGGAAGGAAGAATCTTGGAACCATCTCTGCACGATTTCTGGCGAAAACGAGAGCAAAGCTTCCAGCCAGGCCAGTGTTTGTACTGAGTGAAGGCGACAGCAACCTGATGAATAAAGTTTCATTTCTCCGACCGCCAGCCTCCTATCTTCTCAAGCAAGAGCAAGGAAAAAGATGAATCTGAATCGCTATCGACTCGGAGTTTGAAGAGCAATAAAGCAAGCAAACATATATGTTGGCAAGATTCGATTCAAGCATCCTTGTGGTTGGCGGAAGACGATCAAGAAGGAGCAAAATCTGCACACTGTCGTTCGACACTGTTGGCTGCAGCCCACCGGTACGGGTACTTTGTAGGCTTGAAGAAGAAACAGACAAATCAAATATGGCGGAAGCAAACCTGCTGCCTTGCCGCAAGGTAGAAACGCATGTATGATTGCTTGTTGGCTCTATTATCAGCCATGACATTCCAGATGCTACTCTGTACGGTGTCAGGAGAGGATACTCCTTCGCTTCGTTCACCAAACACTGTTGGGTTTTACTTCCTGACCAGGATGACCCTTTTTGACCCCTTGCTTTTGCCAATCATCATTGCTTCTTGGCTGGCAACTATTCAAGAGCAAGCCAACAAAAGAGCAGCAAAAAGTCTTCCGCTAGTATGCGTTGCATGTCCCTATGGCTGTGCACCCACAGTGAGTCACCAAACAAGAGGTTGCTCCACACCTGGGGCCTCGAACTAAGTGATGGTTGTTTCTTCTTGCCTGATCCACCGTCAGGTACCGGTAATCTCCCGGCATCAGGTATGACGGGAGCGTACAACTTGAAAGCGTCCACCGTACACACATGTACTACACTGACATCAGTGCAGTGCCAGCAATGCTGGGTGAGATTTAGCTTGGGTTTTTGCTGGCTTGCTGACATACGTATTGTTTGCTAGCTACTAGCTGCTGGTACATGTAGCTTGAGAGCCAGCTACCGTAGCCACCTCAGCTCTCAGTGATAGATAGATGAGCTGCGGATGCAGTGGGAATGGTTGATGGTGTTGGCAACTCTAGCTAGTGATTGATTGGGGTGAAAAGGCCTCGTCGAGGGGAACTTAAAAAAAGAACAGCGGGAGAACAGAGAAAGAAGACAAGGGTGGAAACTGGTACCGGTACGACTGTAGCCGGTGTTTGCTGAATGAAAGGGTAAGCGCTGTGCCGTACAGCGTACAGCAGCTATGATAAGCTGTTACCCATTTCCAATACCGGTACCGGACAACGTGTCTATTTTGACACGGCACTCATAAACCAGCAGAACAGGACTTGGCTAGTAGTACAGGTACAGTAGTTGGCTCCGGTGAGGTCCAAGAAATCTGTCCCATTGGATTTATCTCGGATAATAGCTCGAGCCAACATTTTAGTTTTGTTTTGGCTTCGACGAGGTCTCAAAACCAATCGTTTGGCGGTATGATCTAATTGGTTGGAAGCTTCGAACCGGAAGGAAGAAGGTGGATGGAAACTGGCTGATGACAGTTGAAAAGGCTTCAAAAGCAGCACCGGTACCAGGTACAGCACCCAGCGAGTACCACGCAACGGTTGTAAGAACCGGTACCGGCAGCTCGAGCGTCGACACCGAGTAAACCCAACAATCTCCAGTCTCCGCACACCATGCATAGACTAGTCTACGGTGAGAAAGAAGTCATGCATAGTTATTACACTAACCGGTACCGTTGTAGAAGCACCCATAGAGAAGTTTCTCCCGCAACAGCCCCAAAGGAGCCAAAATCTCTTCTCACAATTTCAAAGTCGAGCCAAAGCCAAAGACTCACAAAACACAAAACGCAAAGCACTTCCTAAGAACCTTTCTACAAGCTACACTAGTATTCAACTCGTATGCCTTCCACAGCTACCACTCGACGAGTTCACTTTGCCGCTTCGCCAGTCTCGGCGGTGTTCACCGTCCCCCGCAAAACCGAGAGTGAAGCGCTAACTCTCTTTTACCAGCCAGAAGACTGCGACCGCTTTCGTGCGGAAGCTCAGTTGGAAAAACTTGCCTTGGAGCTCAGCGTAGACTATCAGCACTCAGCCAACAGCCATGTTGCTGCCCCCGCGAGCAGCAACGTGGAGTCCTTGAATGCTCTTACTCAAGTCGCCCGTCATCAGTTCAAAGCTTTGCCCGTGGCATTTGCCAGTCCTTCTTCTTGTCCCATCATGCCCAACAGTACACGTCGGTCCTCTTCCTCCTCTCGAACATCCGGCAATGCCAGGGGAACTGCCCGCATTGCCTAACTGTAGAAGGAGACATGCTTTGCATGTGTTGCCTGCTTGTACTTGTCACATACGAGATGGCTGTGCATCACAATGGATGATACAGCCAACGACACTGCTGTAACGCACCGAGCCAATCAACTGTGATATCATTAAAATTTCTTCTTCCCTCGAGGGTCGAATCGAGCGCTCACGAATCGAGGAAAGCCAGCGAAGGCAGCACCGGAGAACGACAGAGGATCGAAAATTATTACAGCCAGAGGGCCAGCCTCGCCCCGCCCGCATCCTGAACGTGATATCAACAGCCATTCGTCACCTGGTTGGGCATCGAATACGGCCCGGGGATTGTCAAACCTTTAATGAAGTGTAGCCTAGCAACTAGCAATGGTAACTCTCTAACTAAAGCAAACAGCATCCGAAAGGGATCGCAAAGCATTCACAATGTCATATCTATAATAGCCGTACCGCAGGAACATGTATAGCGAGCAATAGCATTGCCATCCATGCTAACGCAACCTGCACGATCCTGAAGCGCTAGCTAGAAGCAGCAGCCAGGAACGAAGGAACAAGCTGAGGACCGAAACAAATGCCAAAAACCGTCATCTAGGTCCTTGACGTACATGTACATGTACATGTACATGTAATATACCGAGAGGGTGGATACTCGATCCGCTGATTTCTCTGGATTTGGTAATGAACGAAGGAGTGCATCCGGCAGAGCACCAGTCCCTGGCTACTCTTTTGTAGAACTAGAAATTCCGCGAAGGTTGATGGGATTGCACTGCCGTTCCAATCCAGTGTATCTTTTGACGCAACAAAAACAACAAATCGTTATATACGGTAGCAGATATGGCCCCATGTAATGTAATAGATGGATCAACACTGTGTCCCATCCAGTCAAGTCAAGCCAAGTCAAGCCAAGTCAAGCCAAGTCAAGCCAAGTCAAGCCAAGCCAAGCCAAGCCAAGTCAGTCACTGGAAAAAGCAAAAGACTCCAACAAATCATCACTGGTAGCTTCCACCGTTACCACATTAGTAGGCCCAAGATGTCCTACCACACTTTGTAGATCTTGGAGCGCCTCATTGGCATTGGGATTGATGATATAATGGATTGGTTGTGCCATTTGATGATTACGTTTTGTTGCTTCCCAGACTTTTTGAAAGTGTGCACAGGATGCTTGTTGTTGAAAGGAAATGCCAATCCAAAGCACAGCAGATACATGCTGTAAATTATTATTATTGTCAAGGGGGTCGTGATCCCAAATCAAGTTTGGTTGTTCATCATTGTACATCAGGATACGAAACCGTAGTCGAGTAGTGGTGTCATTGCAATGGGGACATGTTGGAGGAATACTGTACCGTTTTCTCTTTTTTGGTTGGGACGGCACTACTGGTAGTATCTCTGCAGTGGAAAATACTTTGGTACACTTTGGACATACGAGTTGGTGCAATGTCCCATGCAGCTCAATGGCAGAGGCAGATGCAGATGCAGATGCAGATTGAGAGTCATGAGCATGAGCATGAGCATGCAGTCCATCAATGTTGAGTGTGAAATGATGCTGTATCCGTCCTTGGTTCATCAAGTTTTGCAGGGCCTTGTGTGAAAGAGTTGGTTTTGCTTGGATAGCTTGTTGGTAGAGTTTGTAAAAGAATTGAAAGCAATCTGAGGGTCGATCTTTAAGAAATCGATACCGAAAGACATGAGATCCATCCGACAATCCAAATCGCTTGCCGGCTTGAGCATAGAGACCCTTCTTGTCGTCACTAAACGTTGACAGCCCTGCCGACTGGCTAATCCCAGCACCACTCACCACAACAATCCGTTGTCTGTCATCCTTCAACAACAGTTGCTTTAGTTGATCCAATGGGGAGGACTCCTTCTGTACCTGTATGCAGTCAGATCGCCTTTGGCGTCGGGGTGACCTTCTTTTACTATTTGCTTTTGCTTGGGCGACAGAGTTCTCCAAGCCTTCTTCTTTGTCACTAACTGTTGACATCGTATAGTACTAGCTAGCTGCTAGCTAGTACGGTAGCAATCTCGAGGTTTGAAGGTTGTGATGTGCATGAGACAATGTCGTGCTGTCCACGAAAAGGATCCAAAAGATTCTGCCCCAAACCCTAAATAAACGCTATTAATAGCCCTAAAGATCAGATCAGCAAAGACGCTTTTAGCTGTCCTCGATCGATAGACTACTAGAGTAAAGACGGTGCTGGGTGCTGGGACCGGAAGGTCCCAGTACCGGCACCGGTATGGCACAATGCACAGCTACATGTACATTTTCAATAGATGTAGCCGTGTAGAGCAACTATGCCCAACCAGCCTGAGCCTTCTTCTTTTCTTGAGGGCAGCAGCAGCACCAGCAGCAGGGAAGGAACAATCTTTTCTAGAACTACATGTAGTCTAGCTAGCTAGAATTTAGAGAAGGTTGAATATGATGAATGAATGGAAAAATAGCTCTTTTGCTTAGTTTAGTAAAATTAAAAGTTTAGTGATACAAGTTGTCATGGAAAATGGAAAATGGAATTTGGCCCTTAGAAGAAGAAGGAAGCTGCTTGGGATTCGGCAGGAGTGCTGTTGCGAGATTTGCGGGAAAGCCGGGATCGTCGTGAAGAGGATCTGGAAGATACTGAAGAAGATGTGGCTGCGGGGACATTTCCCATGCCAGCAACTAAGATCGTCTTTTTGCTTGCAATCTTAGTGCTTGTATTGATGGTGCTTGTAGCTCTGGTCGTACCATCAGTGCTAGATCTAGTACTAGTAGTCAGCAGTTGAGCTTGGCAAACAGAAAAGGCTTCATTCAGAGAAACACTCTTGCGGCTTCCAGTAGAAGAATAGCTCAAGCTGCAGCAGTCTTCATCCGCAGCATATGCATAGTAGAAGAAGGAAGAATTGGTAGTGGTAGAGGTAGACATGGTTGGGTTTTTGGGATGTTTGATGTTTGATGTTTCTGGAGATTGAAATTGTGAGATCAAAGGAATAATGAGAGGAAGGATTTGGTTTGAGGTTGGAGGTTTGACCGAAGTTTGAAGAGGAGGAGAAGCAAAGAACGCAAAGGGATTGGACGAACAAGCGTGATATCCCCTTCTTCACCTTCAACTGCCCGCAATAGCTCTTCAATAACTGAGTGGAGAATACCATCTCACCAACCGTTCTCACCTACATGTAAAAAGTGACTGCACAGCTCTGCACCGTACTCAAATTGCACAGTCAAAGCAATCAATGAAGACTAGCTGTTTTCTAATGACTCTCCCTCTGTTCTTTTTGCTTTTTGCCACTTCAGATTACCATGCGCCATGCCACCACTATGACACATCTACCGTGTGACTCGACTCACTATGCTTTCCTCAAGTGTCCTCATCACGTGCATCATCGTCTACAAGTACCTAATAAGTAATGGAGGCTCTGTAGGTCATTGTCGTCATTGTGGTGACTTGTGGTCTTCTTTGAAACAGTCAAGATCCAGACACAAGAGAAATGCGGCACCTGCGCCTATGAGCTCGAGTATTCGGTACCAGTACTACTACATGTATGAACTATTGAAGTTTACCCTTACGTTACGCATCATGAGGACTACCAGAACAGGTGGCGAATATTGGGAAAATTGCAGTGTTTCTCATCTTCTCTACCTTCTACAAAACTCTTAAAGCAGACTTAGTTCATAACATTGATTTCTATGTAGATAATTAAACAACGTTGTACAATACTCTTCCCCGCGTTGGTTTGATTGAGAAGGGCAACGCAACTCAACAGACGGTATCGATCAGCTCAGATTTCAGCTACTGAGTCATTCTCAGTAGTCAAAATAATGGAGGAGTAGTCCGCCCTACTCCCAGGTAGAGAAAATGTACGACTGCAGAACGGGGTCATTGGTCATTGGGGTACAACCCAATAACCCAATGTCACTCCAAAAGCTCTCCCAAATCCAAAACTAGACTACATGTATGCTCACATTTTGGATCCTCTCCATCGGGCCTGGAAGGTTATGGTACGCCTGGATCTGAGAGAGCCCACTTTAGCTCCCATTGGTATTCACCAAGTAGACTAAGCAAGAGTTTCCTTTTCATCTGAGGTGTCCTTTTCATCTCAGACGGAACCTTCTTTCTCACTCTTCCCACTTTAGGTACCGTACCGCTAGAGTGACAGTCGGGGACTACTAAAGACCCGGCATCTGATATCTATCTGATATGCTATGATCAGATCCTACTCACCACTCACCACTTCGTTGCTCGTCCAGAAGCAAAACCGAGCCGCATGGAGCAACTTTACTAGCTAGTAGTGAACAATCAATTACTCATCATTCGAAACTGGATCCGGCTACTAGGTATAGACGTAACTACCGGTATTGCAGCTACTAGCTGCAGTCTGGCTCTTGTTATGAGCGATCATGGGGAGCAATGCATTCCATTGGAGCCATGTTCTGGCTGCTGCAAGCTGCAAGGCCAGTGCATGATGCCACTTTACACTTTCAAGCTTTCAAGAAGATTGACACCAACAAAAACTCGAAATTCCGAAACTCTCGAATGAAGTAAGTAGTGCTGTCCTCGTCGGGCGCGAGAGCTTGAGCGATACAGCCCAGGCTTTGAGCGATACAGCGCTGGCCCCAGTCTCCAGTGATGGAGTCGAAACCATTCTGGCACGAAGATGACGAGAAACTCGACTCAAACCGCCTCTACGTAGCTGTCCGGTACCGTTAGCTACATGAAGTAGCTGGAGACGAGCTAGCGGCCGAGGACCAGCCACGACGAGACTTTTCTATACAGCCATTCAGCCAATAGGTAGCCTGATGCGTGGGGAATCAAATCCAAGAATGTGGAAATGTCGGTTGATTTTTTTCCCGTTTCGCTCCGGCCATGGAACACAGGCAGTTTTCTAGTACATGTAAGGACGTTCTTTGCTTGCATCAGCCAGATTGCAGCAAATCTCGCAACTTTACTCCATCCAAACAGCCGTACATCAACGAGTGGAAGCAAATGAAAATGAGAGTCGAATCTACACGATGAGTCAGTCCATCAAGGGAAGTCTGTGCTTTTCCGCCACATAAGACAAGGAGGTAATGCCATTGTTGCACAGATTGCAGAAATTATACTAGCTAGTATTGACGAGCTCTCGCTGCCATGGGTGGCCCTTGTCATTGGCAATGAGACTAGGCAGGCAGTTGCTGCAGCTGTGTTAGTACTGTACTAGTACTAGATCTAGCATCTAGAGACTATTCCACTGGAAATTCCAGTACTCGCACATTGTGGGAAAAGGTTCCACGCTCCACGCTCCGACGCTGGAACTGCATACCGTAAAAGTATAGTACGCAAATTTTGGTCGAATGATGATGATGAATGCGATGAAGACGGCGAACGTGATTGCCTAGCCTGCTAGACTGGCTATTTAAAAAAATAGCTATTGCCCCTTGCCAGTTCCTGAAGAATCGGTAAGCTTCCGAAGCACTTGGGCGTAGATCCGCTGCTACTCTAAGTATGATAGCCCGAGCTCGATTCTCGGAATAGTAAAAATAGTATTCCAGCTCTGTGCCTTGATGCATTACAGTCTACTCGCACTAATATTACTTATTTAATATTACTTCTCGCTGTTATATTACCTGATTCTTCGGATCCCCCCCCAGTCCCGCATATCCGTGAATGACGAATGACGTCAGTACCCTCGCAAATCTCGTAGCAGCAAAACAATCGCTCGCAATCCATCGCAAACCATCCAACTCGACAGAGACATACATGTAAATGCCAATGCATGCCGATGAGGTGCCAATAAGAGGCCAACCGGAGCCCCGCACCTCTCCTTGCCTGTCCGATTCTCTGCCAGTCCGCGCAAATCTTCGTACGTGGGGTTTTTCATGGTGTTTTCGCGAGATTTGCGCAGAATGGCAGAGAGGAGACAAAAACAATTCTCTCAGCAACAAAACAAGTGCAAGCAAACCATACCAATCCCCCCAATCCGACTTAGACCAACATGAACGGCGCCGTGACAGCTCTATCCATTCGTACTTTACTAGTGGAACCGGCCCTTGAAAAGCCTAATATTACTTCTCTCTATTATATTACCCGAAGTCCGAAATCCCCCCCAAGTAATATTAGAGCGAGTTGACTGTATTAGGGTGTTCATTATGGTTGCCACAGTTTCGAGACAAGACTTAGTACGACTGTACCTGGTACAAGACTAAGTACCAGTACCACTGTTGTTTGTTGTTTACCAATGCGACCAAAAATGAGCCACCTACCGGTACCGGCTAGAACTCAGTTTGGAACGCCATGAGCTACACCTATACTCCGTAGCCAGTGGTGAGTGCTACAGTACGGTAGCTAGCTGGTATGCATAGTGGTTTGAACGGTTTAACCAAGTGCAGCGGCTACGGTATGAGTGGTGGATGATGACATTGTCTCGAAGCTGAAGTATCCAACGCCATGAGCTACACCCGTACTCTACGTACAATGGCTGGGGTGCATGCAGGAGCTATGCAGGGTTCACAGGTGTTCACAGTGTTCTTGGTCCAAATTCGGTACCGGTACTCGTGCGTGTTGTTCAAACAGAATGACGGTGGGATCCATTCTGATTGTGTAGTCTAGACTATTCAGCACTCGAGTATTCTTCAAAGAGTGGTGTATACGTGTATACTAGTACTCCTGGAGTGGTACTAAGAATAAATCCCGCTGGAGAACCTCTGGAGTTCACTGTATCTTTGGAAGAGTAGAAAATGTGATATACTGCGTTCGTCACTGAGGAGTGGTGGGGATAACTATCTTAAATAATGTAAAGCAGGACTCTAAGTCAATAGCTTCTCTGTTGTTTAGTAAAGGGGCAGTCGAAAGGTCCTCTTTGATGGTACTTCCAGAAGATAGCAAGGGAACCTTCACGCTTTGCCGCCACCGACGCTTCTATTCTACAAACAACAAGACACAACAAACTCACAACAACAAACTCCAACAAACTGTATTGGTGGTATACTAGCTAGCTCTAGCTTCACCAAGTCTTGTCTGTCTGTGTCTGTTTGTCTCTGTTTGTCTCTGTCTACTACTGCTAGGAGCTCAGCAGAAGAAGAAGAAGAAAGAACGCTTGTGTAGCTACTGACTGCTCCACGCTCCACGCTCCACGGTGTGAAGAGAGTTAGTTGACAATGGGAAAACGAAGACTTCAAGCCGCTCCTCCTGGTAGTACTTCTACTAGTGCTTCTACTGCTAGCAGTACTACTAGTTTGACTCCATTTGATTACTTCTATGGAGAAGACTCTCTACCAGCGCATCCTGCCGATTGGACTTCTTCCACGGTGAATGAAGATTCCACGGTAGAAACTCCTTCTGATTCCGATTCCGATTCCACGCTCCAAACTGATTCCACGGTCACTCAAAGTTCCACTCCCACCAATGACAAGAAGAACTCTGCCATTCACTACGTCGACGAGGATGATCCTAGTGCCACTGCCACTGAAACTACAACTACAACAAGTGCAACGAGTACTAGCAAGAGACGGACCCGTGAAGGCCACTTGCTAGTCTTACTCCCACTTACCAGAGATGTTCAAAAAGAAGATGATTCACGAACACTACTCGAGTTTCGCGTCTACGTGGAATTGGCCGCCTTTTTGGCCCATCAGCACATTCAGCATCGCAGTGGATTGGTCCTGCCCAATGTACAACGGCGACTCAGAGATCAACACTGCGACTTTTCATGGACCTATCAGCACTATGATACACGATTCTCGCCCTTTCATGCCGTCAAAGGAATCAACGACGCTTATCATCATCATCATGACACACACAAGGAGAGACCATTTGCCGTCATGGGCGCTGCAAGTTCGGCGGTTTCCAGCACTCTGGCAACCATTGGAGCTGCCATGGAGATTCCGCAGATTACCAGTTCCTCCACAGCGTCTACACTCGATCGAGCACCACTGGCGGCACGTACCATTACCAGCAACCGTGGAGATGCACACGCTATCATGGCATACTTTCACTTTATCAACGTCAAAACAGTATCCTTGCTATTCCTAGATGATTCCTGGGGACGCAATTATCAAAACGATTTCCAACAATATGCACATCAATACAACATTACACTCCTGCATTCCATACCCTACCTCGATGTTAATCCACACAATCTGGACGTTGCCTTGAATCAAGTACAACAAGCACAATCCAGATACTGGATTGGAATTCTCGCTCCCAGTCAGTGGAAACCGGTTGTACGAAAGGCATACCAGTGGGGACTCATGGGACACGACAATCCAGACAAATATCAATGGTTCCTACCTGATCTCGTTGAATTGCGTGGGGACGCTTTTGCATTGGATGCAAACACCGAAACCGATATTGCATTGGCCATACACGGAATTGGAATGCCATTTATACAGCTCAAACCAAATCAGGCACTCGATCGAGCATTGGCAAGTGTCGCCACCGACACGAAACTACAACAAGCTTTCATTCAACATCATGCCGAACCACACATTTTTGACAATTTCACATTTACACACTTTCCAGGACGATCCGTATTTCAGTACTTGACATATGATGCCGTCATGGCACTGGGAATCACCGCATGTGAAACACCCGGGCTATTCTCCGCAAAAGAGTTTTATGACAATCTACGCAACATTGACTTTCAAGGTGTCTCGGGACGTGTGCGACTCGATCCTGTCACTGGAACCCGATCGGGAGATGCATTTTCTTTTGAAATGGTCAATCTCCTCTTGAAAGATTATAATAATAATGGTGATGATGCGGAGCAAGGAGACACCGCCAACAACAAACTAATCTTCTTTGAAGCAAGGAGTTCCGCAACCATTGATCTGGCGCCAGTTCTCAACGCCAACAACAACACCGACATTAACAACCAGACAGCATTCAAGCAACAACCGTTACCCAGCATTACCATTATTAATCCTTTTGTATTTCACGATAATACCACGACACCGCCACCCGAGTTGCCGCATGTGGAGCATTACATGAACTTGATTCCCATCGGATTGAGAGTATTTGGGATTGCTCTGGCCGGTCTGGTCATGTTGCTCTCTGTCGCATGTGGTCTATGGACCATCCTATATCGAAAGAGATATGTGGTCAGAGCTGCTCAGCCATTCTTCTTGATTGCTATTTGTATTGGCACATTTGTGCTATCCTTCACCGTCGTTCTGCTCTCCTTTCAAGAGGACATGTCGCAGCAGACTCTCGACGCGGGATGTCTGATGATCCCCTGGACGTTATGCATCGGATACACGGGTAAGTACAGGAAAGAAAAGCAACTTCAAAGACGAGGATGGATGATGAGACTTGGTTGTCTCACTTCATTAATTGTGCTTCTGAATCGACACGGTACCAATATATAGTCACTATAGCTTCCTTGTACAGCAAAGCCGATCGAATCAACAAGGTCATGAACTCGGGGGCACGACGTGGGAGGAGACAAGGCTTCCGACGGGTCAGGATCAAACCATCCGACGTGCTTTGGCCTGCCTTTGTCCTGCTACACATGGATTTGGGGTTTCTGGTATCCTGGACTTTTTCTCCCTTTCGCATGGCATGGCATCGCGTGTACATCGACAACTATGATTCCCTTGGCCGGCAGATTGAATCTTATGGAGCTTGTCGACCAGACGATGGCTCCCAGTGGTACCTACTCTTTGCCATCCCCCTCTACTTGACCAAACTACTCGTCTTGGCGAGAGCGACACTTGCCAGTTACCATGGACGGGACTTGCCGACGGAGTTCTCTGAAACCAAGTATCTGATCGTGGCATTGGTCAGCCTCTGTGAAACGGTTGTCCTGGGAGGTAAGTCTGCGCATACGATCGAGTTCTCGTGTACCCGTTTGGTTTGAGAGTCGAATACTTGCTCAGGTATGTATACATGTATACTAACGCATCATTCTTGTGTCCACTGACGGCACTGCAGCTATTCCCATGGTTGCAGTTATGGAAGATCCCACATCATTCTTCGTTGTCTCTACACTGGTAATCGTGATTGGCTGTCTTTCTATCCTGCTCCCTGTCTTCTTGCCAAAATACTGGCAACGCCATGCAAAAGAGCCAAAGGGTAGGAAAGCAATCAGCTTGCTTCAGGCTCCTCAGGTGGCAAACAAGTACACGTGGAGAAGACTGGAACCAGCGAGAACTTTGGAAGATGCAGAATGCGAGGAATCGTTTCGCCATCGACCCAGCGGTAGCTTCAGTTCCAATTTCGGGTCCAGCTTATCGTCGTTCCTGGCATCGGCACCAGCACCCATCAAACGTATATCCGATTCTACTGCAGGTTCGAAAGGTTCAAACGGTACTTCAGCATCTTCTTCTGCAGATGCCCTCAAAGCGGTTGGATCTGCCGGATACCAACTGGTGAAAGGTCCCGCCATTGTTGCAAAGGCTATAATTGTGTCCACCTTTACTACGTCGTCTCAGGAGGACACAGCAGAAGAAACTCTACCAAATGGCAGGCTCGAAGTCCTTTTCGAAGAGGAAGACGAAAGCACGCGTGGCAGCGTCGTGGATATTAAATGAATCGAATCAATCAATCTCAGTTGCTTGGATATTGACGAATCTTTCAACATATTTTGTGCAAACTCAGCGACAAACTTTGGCGGCGTCACTAGATTCCTGACTGGATGCCTTGCCGACATGTCGAATCTGCACCAAACGACGCGCCTCGATACGCAGCATCTACAACGAAACTGGAATGTTGGTAATGCGATGGCGGCTTTTCTCGGTGTGACCTGCTCTTCGCTGCTACCGTATCGGTAAAGCCAGAGAACCTGCATAGGTTAATTCAATTGAAAGGTAATCGAATCCGGGATGAGTAGCTACAGTGTAGAGGGAGGTTGGAGGCAACCAAATGAATTCGATGTCCAATTCACGAATGGTTCAGCCGTGAAGACACAAGCTGCGTTGCTTAGTACTGTAAGGGGCAACGTATCCAATAGATTTCTAGCAAGTTCGGTCTTGTCGAAGCAAGCAATGATGTCGTTGTCCGAGTCGAGTCGTAGCTTGAACATGGGTGAAGCAATCCAGATCGTTTGCATCCAGTGTCTCGAGGGGTCCTGTACTTTCTGATATCTATGGGTACCTAAGACTAGTCTACGTGGTTTCTCGACCGATCACTTGAAAACTGGAGTACATGGTACCGACACAATGTTGGTGTAGCTTGATATCTCTCCTGGTTGTCGTCGACAAGTGGGCTGACTGTCACTCGTTGACTCCCGAGAGCGAGTCTTCATCCTTGATACAAAAGGGTTGGGGATACATTTAGGCTCCTCGATCTGGCCGGAGCTCAGATCTTCAGCCAGATATCTGGCAAACTTTCACAGAGTTGCAAGGCGCTTTGAAAGCTCCGTACACAACTCTCCTAATAAGCTCATGCTTGTTGCCATCGCCTCAAGGGTCAACCAAATTCATAAAGAAAGAAATTGCAGTCGAAATGTAAGCCCGAGTTTCACAGTGTCTGCATATCCTGATCTACGCAACTCCCTCTTTCTCACTGTTTTTCGCTTGAATTTACGTTTTTGGAAAAAGGCCTCGTCGAAGTCAATCCAGCTTTAGCTTGTTCAGGGGAAGCTGTCTCTGTATTAGTTGGCTCGTTGGCTTTCAACTGAGTCTGGGCGCCATCACACTACTCTCTCAGGGATCCATGGTAAGTGGTAAGCGAGGCAAGTCCATGCTGTCCATAGCTATAGATAGCCTGTGCGGGCTCTGAAAGCTACTTTCAGCATTGATCAGATCTCATCCTCTCATTTGCTTTGGCTTGTATGGTACTGGTACCGTACATGGACATGTAGATGCTGAGAATCGAGTATGAAATGTTAGCACCGGTATACGTAGAAACTGTGAAATCTAATTGGGGAACACAAAGGTTTGACACGCACCCTCCCACCAACCGTAACAGACAAGTGACCAGAATCGAAACAATCAGTAGCCAAGGCGCCGATCTCGAGAGTGCGGTAGCAGGTTCTCGATTGACGAACAAGAAAACAAAAGAAAGGCCACAACGATATCCAGTTCGCAAGAAAACACTCCAACAAGCACCAAATTTGGAAGGAGCCATACAACGGGCACGGGCCAACGATGACGAACGTCGGGCAAAGAAATATCAGACAAAGCCAAAGGCTAAAATACAAGCTCCCAGGAGGCATAGACCAACCATGGTCATTCACATTGGACCTTCCAAGACGGGAACTTCAACCATCCAGCGGGAGACCATTGCAATGGAGCCATTCCTTGCCAAGGACAACTTTGTCTACATTGGAAAATTTGCAGACAGAAAGTTTCGACAACCAACACATGCTCCTGTGCTATTGAATCATGATAGATGCTTTCAAGAAGCTGCAACGGCTTGGAAGCAGAACCATACATCTCATTTCAATGAAACACCTTGCTGGAAGGATCGAGTGTCAGGCATCATGAAGTACTACCACAAAAACACCAGTATCATCCTGTCTGATGAGGGGTACAGCTACAAGAGTCGATTTGATAATCGTACCTTTTATCAACTGCTCAGTGTAGCATTTGAAGATTGGAATGTTGTCGTTGTCCCTGCCTACCGGCGTTATGCCGAATGGCTGCTCAGTGCTTCCAAAGAAGTCAACCGAAAAGGATGCTTAGGCCCTAAAGCACCCTGGAAACACAACAAAGGACGCCCTTGCATGGATCTATGGAAAATGACAGATCGGGATAGAAAAAGCACAGAGTTCGGAGCAAGTTACTACAAGAATCTGGATGCATCCCTTCCAGCATGGCGAGAATCTGGGTTTCGCATAGCCTTGCTTGATTTCCATGGAGAGGAACATCTCACTTGCAATCTATTCTGCAATCTGATCCCTAATACACCAAACACCTGCAAGGAATGTCGCAAGCGGCCTCCCAACAGGCTCAATGCTCAATCTTCTTCGTTTACAGCTTACAATGACATTCTCTTTGCAGCAGAGGAGCAGGGAGTGCTTCCTGATTCCATGTTGCAGAAGACTCGTTATGAGGCAACCATGGAACTGACACACTATCACAGCACAATCCTTGGTAAAGGGCTCAAAGATCTTCCCCTGATTTGTCCCAAACCAGCCCACCTGGACCAGCTATTGAACAAGTCACTGGCTTTTGAAAAGATGGTCATGCCAACAGCATACTACCTTGAACTTCAAGAGGTACACAGAGCTGCCTTTTGGGAAATTGCAAACGAGAAGAAAGAGTTTTGCTCTGTGGATGCTAAAATGCTTCTGAATGGGAAGACTTCCTGGAGGGAAGTGCAAAAGGCAATGAAGAAATCCAAAGAGTGGCCCACATCGTATTACTAGTCACTTTCCCCCCTGTTTTGTCATACCTGCGGCCTTTAGGATTATCGCTTGCCGTTGGGTCCATACAAAGTTAGAGGCCAAGACTTTGATCCTCGTAAGGTCCCGGAAATAGTGCAGTGGCAGCTCATAGCTCACATTCTTCACGTTCCATGCTGTAATCTACCCACTCTAACCCCCCTAGTGAAAGCTACCCATTTATGTCTCCGCGTCTCCTTCAAAGCCAAACCCTTTTGATGTTCTTCATGCAAACCCGTATCTCAATTGCCCTTGTGAAAGCTACCCATTTATGTCTCTGTGGATCCCGCAAAGCCAAACCCTTTGGCCCCGTACTGGTCCTCAATTTCTTGCCCCTGATCCCACGGAACCTAGCTAGTCCTGAATTTCAACTACTCTTTGCTTCAGCCTGGCCCTAGCTGGCTTCGGTAGATAATCCTCCTACTTTAAACCCCCTGTATGTAGTTCCAGTGCTGGCTTGATCGCACGCTGGTGGGCCCGGGTCTCAGAGGGACGACCTGGGTGAAGGGGCGGACAGTACTAGTAGCTAGTACCACATGCACTGCACAAGGTCAAGTGGCTGTCACTCACCAGTCTATCAGCATGCCCCGCGGTCATTGGGGCAAAGCAAATGGGGGATATAAAAAGGGGGAAAGACCATTGGGGGCCCGAGTTCGGACTTCACGCACTTGGTGGTCGCTGCCTCCATTGCGATGGCAAGACTTTCTCTTTCCACACTACTACTGGTACACATTAGGGACCGTCGTCTACGACTGTATGCAAGCAAGCAAGCAAGCAAGCTAGTAATGTTCTATTGGTAGCTACCTCGGTTGCGTGTAACGGTGGAGCTCTAGCTTCCAGCTGCCTACTAGCTAGCTAGCTAGTCGCGATAGATAACCTCTCCTCGCCATCATCAGGTCCCGCAGAACTACTGCGCGTCCAATTACGGTTTTTGATCAAGCAGGCACGAGCTGGAGGCACCAATGCGCTGCACACAATTGGTATGCAGTGCAGTTCATCCCGAAGGACTCTGTTGAGTTGCTTTTTGCTGCTTCAGCTGAGCGTTGCAGTTGTTCTGATGTTTGCCAAAGTTTCCTCAGTCACCAAGGTAAGTGCGAGGCGTTTACCACACTCAGACCATGCGCAACCGTGACCAACTTCAAAGACCAAACTTGTGTATACTTGTGCCAATGATGTGTACTTGCTTCGCGTCGCTTGATGTTGAAATTTGTATGCCTTCTTTTAGGGATTCACAAGGGAGCAAGAACAAGAACAGCTCGTAGAGATGCGTTTGTGGAGGCGCAGCAAGCACACTGATAATCACATTGTTGCAAAGGGTCCCTTCTCTGCAAAGGTGCAAGCTCAACAAAACACTACCAGCAGCAGTTCCAGTGAGATCATCCACCCAGATGGCTTGGCAACTTCCCCAACAACTCATATTGCCCAATCTAGTAATACTGGTAGGAAAACCCAAGCAAACGCCACTGACAGCAGCATGCAAGCAATCAGCAATCATAGCCACCAAGAAAATGTGTTGACCAACAATGAACGGGC